TCTTTGTTCCAATCACACACCAAACATAGGTGATAAAATATTAATTGCATTAATTATCAAACTTGTTTTCCCCAGTCTTTGGCACTGGATAAATATTTTCAGCATTTTCACCTGCAGTGGAAGCATTGGCATTAGGGCCAGCTGAAGTGTGGTGAGGCCAGCTGAGGCCTTGCTGCAGTTTGTAGATCTGATAGTGAAAATTAATGGCTTTTCAGTTATATTAGTATGGAATATGGCAAGTTTTAAGGATAAACCAGATATATTTTCACTAGTGCCACAAGCCCTGCTTTGAAAGTGATGCTGTTACTTGGGGTATGTATGTACATTGTGAAGACACCAGAGCTGTCAGCAAGATGAGCTGTTCTGGCTCGATGCACTGACACAAGCAGCTTGGGTGCCTGCATTCAGGTAAGGGTCAGTGTGGCACTGAGACTCCCCTGGGCATCTCCATTTCTGAGGTCAGCTGCAGTGTTATGTCCTGAGGTAGCCCAAAACTAGCTTGAGTTGTTCAGCTACACCTTCACGTCACTGAACATGAGCGATTTTCACAGAGCAGAGCTCTGGTTTATGTTCTTAAAAGGTGCTTTGGATTAAGCAATACAAGAAGTGCCCACTGGCACTTCTATTTGTGCAGGTTCTATCTCCTGCATGTATTTAATTTGCAGTACAGAAAAGCAGCTCATTATTTCAAGGGCTGTATTTGGATCCAGCTGCTGCAGAGGCCCATATGCAAACGTTACAGTTAGAGGGCTGTTGGTGTGCCAGAAGTACCAAAGGCATGTGGCATACAGCCTCTGTTTTGGCTATGTTTGTCTTCCAAGGCACAAAAGCCAAAACCAGGCATCATTTGATACTTACTGCTTCGAGCAGCACTGGAAAAAGCTTGTGTTAACTCAAGCAACTATTCACTGTGTGCTCCTCACTTACATCTTTGGGAATATAACCCTTCACTCTGAAATTAGATTACCAGAGTCAGAACACTTCGTGGTTACCTTGCTTTTGGGGCTTTGGCCACTCAGTTCATGAAATGCCTCCAGCTCTACTTGTCAATGAGCCAGTGACCTCCTGGCTTCATCCCCAGTGAAGGTTGCTAGTGAATGGCCTGAAATCCATACCTGAAGTTTATTTTAGAGCATCCTTTCCAAGTTTCAACTTTGTGCAGTTCAAAGGAGGCATTTATTGATAATGAAAAATGCTGAAAACAGTTCTTTTGAGAGATGAAAGCTTTCTCTTGTTCTGTGTTCTCAGTACTGAAGGTGGAATGCTTTCCCTTTTGAAACACTTTTTCACTGTACAAACCTGTTTACTGTCCATCAGCAGGTTCGCTTACCAAAGCCTAAGCCAAAACCAGTTCAGCAGAAGCAAAAGAAGATGGAAGGTGAGGAATGTGAGGAATACGTCTGCCAAAACAGAGCTTGTGCTGGGGCAACAAACAAACACCCCCATGATGAAGAAAAGCCAAGTAGATTAAACAGGAGGCTTCACCAAACAAAGCCTCAGCAGGTGAGGATTTGGGCACTGCAGTGCTTTGTGGCATCTGGAGCTTGGCTGCTCCTTTAGCTTCATGTCTACCTTTTGGGGTGGGCAAGGAAGAGGAGTGCTTGAAGAGCCAAGTGCTCTGTCCTAGGCTCCAGAAAGTGGCAACCGCTTCCTGGCTCCTGTTAGTCCAAACATAAAACTGAGTTCCTTGTAAGCACAATGACTAAGTGCAATCAGAGTACTACTTACACCTGACGGGTCCAGGTAGCAGGATGGTACCTGTGGTAGTGTTGAACATTACTCAGTCCAGCATACTGAACTACTGTGTGTGCCTCAACAGGGTCCCTTCCTGAAGCCTTCCCTGGAACCAGTGCCACAGAAGCAAAACAAGGTGAAAGAGGAAGAACTCAACGGGCTGAGCAGGCCCCGTGCTCGGGTGACCCGCCAGCACTTCCAGCCTGAGGAAAGGCCACTCACGATTTGGGAGCCCAACCGGGCACAGAAGGTGAGGGTTTGGTGGCCCCTGACAACAGGCACGGCACCCTGAATGCGAGGAGTTTCAGACAGCACTAACCTCACACCACCCAAACTGAGCCCAAACTCAATGTGTACAAAGGAGACGTTGGCCACAAACACTCAAAGTTTGGGTACAGTTGCTTGGTCCTGCTGTTAGGAAACTAACATTCCAGTTTCTCTGTAGTTCGCTTGTAAAGTGCTGCAGTGTGGGTCATGTGTTAGAAGTGTTGGGAAATGAGTCTCCCTTTGTTTCCTTGGTAGAATCTTTCTTACTGCAGTAGTTTCCTTTTCTTCATAGTGGAAAACTTCATAGCACTCTTTAAGTAAGTAAGTTCTTAAATTCTCACTTCTTAATCTGAAGATTTTAGCAGTTAACTAACTCACCTCATATATTACTGGTAATTTACCACATAAAAGGAAGGGCTGAATGGATGTGTTCAGTCTTACTCTGCAGCTGTACATGAAAAAGTTGACGAAAGAAGTTAATCAAGGTTTAGTAAAACTAATGCAGAACTAAGCACATGTTGGTAATCACCCTGTGCTGTTTCTGTGGAGTTAAATGTGTGTTGTAACAAAGGGATGCTCCTCTGGGGTTCTTTCAGATAGAAAAATAGCTTGTGAAATACAGCCGATTGCTGATAAGCACAAAACCGCACCTTTAAAGAGAGCTTTATGATTAATGCACGATTCTTTGCTTCAAGCAGTTTGCTGGTCACTGCCTGGAGACTCCAGTACAAGCTGGGAGAGGGAAGCAGGAAAAGCACAGCAGTACCCGAGAGCATCAGGCAGTCAAGTGGTGAGCAGAGCGGGGTCTGGAGATGTGCTGACAGCAAGGTAGTCAGAGACCTGACACAGCAGTGACTCAAAGTAACACGTACAGCTTTGCAGTAGATGTTCCAGTGCTACTTAGGACTATAGTCCTAAGAAAGAAGTAGATATGGAAAAGGAGCCAGATCTAGGTTTCCAAGCATGACATAGGGAGGAAAAAGAGCTGGTGTAACGTCCCCTGTTCAGTGCAATAGCAAGCATAAAGTAAGTATGGGTTGTAGATCTTGACTCCAGTGAGTAACCTGGGGCTTTGGGTTTCCCCCAGAGGGTTTGGTATTTATATTGTATTTGTGGCTTTATTTAGTCTTTATAAAGGAAAAGCTTCTGTTCCAATCTGATTAATAATGCTGCATCTATGTAGTCATTCTGGGGTACTCACTGAATATTGTCAGTAAGATGGGAGAGTTAAAATGGATGTTGGGTAACAGTTAAGATATTCAAATGGGGAAGGCAAAAAGGCAGGATTGCACTAGTTTGTTTTGCAGACTCCTCTCCCTTCCTTTCATAATTGAGGAGGTTGGTAAAGCAGCGCTATATAGACAGTGTAGAGAACTGAGGTTGGGAAAAAAGGGTCATCTACAAAGCAGGGAAAAATGCACTGGTCCATGCAGGAGCTGGAGGGTGAAGCTAACAAGGGTCCTGCAGAGAGCAATGCCACACACCTCGGCCAGGCAGCTGTGGAGCAGGTAACTGCAGGCACCATGCTCTGACTCGGGCACCAAGATGGAATGGTGGCCCTGGTGCAACTGAAGGTGTGAACAGAGAGCGTGGAGGGGAAGTTCTCTTCCTCCGTGGTGTATCTCTGGGGGAAGAACAGGCAAATGCCACATAGCTGGGGCTGCTGGAAAGCAGCTATAGTCTAGGTATAAATTAAAACAGGAAACACTGCTATGCTGAAAGGGGAACACCTGACTGAGAGGAGGAGGACAAGAAGGGTAGGACACTTGTGAGAGATGAACTGGGAAAGACAAAATGAGGAAGACAGGTAATACCTATTATAATGATATATCGTTATAATAAACATCTATTAATTAAAACAATATGGAAACAACAAAAAGCAGAGAAGACAAATAACCTATGAGCTGCCTTCACGGTGGATGTCCTAGTGTCTTTCTATCAGATGGGGCCCATATTTAGTTAAAAGAAAAGAAACAGATGTCTGTCAGTAATCTGAAAGAGGAATAAAACAGGAAGACAGGAAATTTTATTTTCTCCTATTGCTGAGGTTGAAATTAAGGGCTGTATTGCTAAAAAAATCACCTATTGAGAATGGGAAAGGAAACCAAAGCTGAAAGTTTTGCTGAAGGACAGTGGAAAAAATGGCTAAGTCTGGGATGCGTGAGAGACAGATTCCTTTCTGATGGATTTCCTTTCCTCCCAGAAAGGAGATTTAAAAGGGTAAGCTAAGGATGACATTGCTCCTGGAGACCTAAAATCCCCCAGCCACCCCCCCAGCCAACTAGAACTGACCCCACATAAATACTACAGAGTCATGCTGTCTGTATAAATCACAAGTTTGGCTTCACCATGAAAGGCAAAACCTGCACAAATTAAAACAGCAAATCAGACTTCAGACTCAGGTTGAGGGTTTCCAGGCTAAAGCTTTATTAGCAGGAACACTAATAAAAAGTGTAGTTTTATACATTACATATTTAAACACTGTAAAGACTTAAATATTGACAGTTTTGGGAACAAGTTAAAGATAGAGAAGAATTTCAGCTGTTGAATTCAGTAAAATATAGAGGATGGCTCTGGAGACTTCAGTATAGAAATGGCTCTGGAGAAGATGTTTAATCATACCTAATGTTATACACTTAATATACAGTATACTTGTACCTAGAAATGCCAGAGCTGAGGCTTTGTAAGACTGGTATTGCTTCCTTTAGGATAACTGGATGTCCTCTTTGGCATCCTTGTTTTTCCGATTCACATCTCAATATTAAATTTAATGATTACTATTTTTTCCCCTGCAGAAATACCCTGCAAGAGAACTGCCCCCATTCACCCCCCAAGCACTGTTCTCAGAGCCCAGAAAGGAACACCATCGACTCTTAACTGTGCATCACCCACTGCCATGGCAAGAAACTGGTTCTGACTTCACTCGTCCTTCGCTTCCTACTGTATTTAGGCTTGCATTTACTGACAGAACGTACCATTACACTACAGCAGTACTTGTACTCCTGCTGCTGATAGTACTTTCCTTGTATTTTCTTTGATGGCACCATCTCGGGGGCTTCAGTGCACGTGTGGTGGTGTTCCCATCACACAGTTTCTTCTCAGAGTTTCTTCATTGAAGATTTCAACGTCAGTGGCTTGAAAAAGATGTTTAAGTGACGCTGTCAATACAGATCCTTCCCAGGCAAGTCCCGCACTCCAGAGTTACACATGCACTAAACCATGTGTACAAGGCTCGTCTCTGTCACAAGCGGTGGGATTTCTTTTTGCTTTATTTGTGAAACTGGACCTTTGCTGCAGCAATACTAGAAATGTATCGTGAAATACAACAGGGCGTGAGACTGAATTACTGACACCGCTGTGTTGGTAACTTGTGCTGTTTCAGCAAACCTTTGGGTAAATCCCGATGCGTTAAATGTGTGGGAATTTACTTTTCCTCTCTTTATTCTACGGTATAAAGGGAAGATCATAGCCACAAATTCCATTTTAGAAAAGACTTTGTTACTGGTTTTGCCTGTACCTGAGCTACCACTCATGGTTTAGTTCAATCACTCATTTTTTGGTTTTCCTTACCTTATTACAATATGGACATTCACCAAAGATGACATTAAAGCTCTGTCTGCTCGAAGGAAGACCTTGTAGCCACTGCAACACAATTAAGTGGATTAAAATTCACATTTGTTTCATATCAAATTTAAGAACTACCTATTACTGGGGATTTCTCCCAAACAGAGTTCAAGGTGTGTGTCAAGGCAGAGTCCATGTGAGCACAAAGTGAGGCAGGTTCCCCTTCACAGACAGCTTATGCCTGATGTGTGGGGTTACAAGATGAGAGGGGCTTTGGACAAGGGATGTAGGGACAGGACAAGGGGAATGGCTTGAACCTGCCAGAGGCGAGACTGAGATGAGCTCTTAGGCAGAAGCTCTTCCCTGTGAGGGTGCTGAGGCGCTGGCCCAGGGTGCCCAGAGAAGCTGTGGCTGCCCCATCCCTGGCAGTGTTCAAGGCCAGGTTGGACACAGGGTCTTGGAGCAAGCTGCTCTAGTGGAAGGGGTCCCTGCCCACACCACTCTGGCTCTATGACTCAAAGAGGCTGTGGTGGTTGTAACACTCCTTCAAGGACTTTGCTGCTTCTGAAATTTGAGTGGGCAACACTTGTTTTCCAGAGTCTGACAGGCAATGAACAAAGTCTGTCCTGTTACTGTACCTCATACAGACAAGCCTGGTGGAAGGGTTGTCCACAGCGGGGGTCATCACACACCTGATCTGGAGTAGTGCCGTTGAGGCGATAGGCGTAGCAGATGCCACAGTCCTTGGCAAAATCCTTACAACACAACATGGTTTAGCTTACAGGCCCACCCAAAGGAAGAAACAGAGCTGGTAACACAGCCAACACGTTCATCTGTTGGTCTCTGCTTTTGCAAGTTTTGCTTTCAATCAGTATGTTTATAACCTCATGGCATAAACTGAGACTATTGAAGCCTTGTGCATCTGAAGCCAGGTTGTATTTTATCCCCTCACTGAATTACATCTACTTTGACAGGCATTTTCATACTCTGTTGTTTCTTTTTCCTCAAACACAATGATTTGTCATTACATGTGAGCATCAGGCATAACCCTCAGTCAGATATTAATGTCAGAATTCCACAAGTGGAAGCGAAGCTGATAATCCAGTGTTGCAGTGCTATTTGGATGGCCTCTTGTCCCCCCTGAGCAGCTCCACCTCATTAGAACTTAAGTCATCAGCATCCATAACAGAATGTTTGGGTTTGCCACATCTCATTAGCTACTCTGGAACTTCCTCCTTCCCTTTTAATAGCGAAGCCTGTTATTAATGGCCTCACTGCTAGGAAGGCCACAGGGAAGTGAGCACCTCTAATCAGGGGTTAACAAGCTCTGACAATTGTTGCTTGAAGTCCAGAAGTCCTTATGACAATATATTAATGCCATTACCTCTCCTCTAAGTCTCTTCTTTTTGCTGGCAGTTGTAAAGTGACCATTTAACTGTTACTTATTCAGGAATAACGACTGAGCATTACCAAAAAGCAACTTACACTTTTCTCTAACACAGCACGAGAGGGGAAATCGATTTCTAAGAGGCCTTTCAAGTTTTGCAATAAACTGATTTCTGGATCCCTGCAGGTAGGATCGAGAGAGAGAAAAGTCAACACGAGGAAGGGCAAATTCCATTTCAGTTTCAAAGCTGTGCTCTTTAAAGGTACTTACCACAAGTGCATGTTGTCGTTCAGCTTGGTTCTCAAGGGGTTAACCGCTGCAATACAACACATAACTCATTACATACCTTTAGCATCCCCCCTCAGATACCAGCACTGGAGAAGAAAGCATGGGCTGGGGTTTAATCGCTTAAACTACGTAAGTCAGTGACTGCTTTTAGTTTGGGGAATTCATTGCACTATCATTTTAAATATCACACTGCTGAAGATAGGGTTGCATTACCTTTAAAAGTGGCAAAAAGCTGTGGGACACAGAGTAAAAGACTGAAGTATTTTCAAACACTATTAGGACATATGCAGTGCTATTCCAATATAAACATGATGGGTAATCTGTAGGACACAGGGAAACACAGTGCCAGGAAAGCACTGGAAAACCAGCATCACTCGCAGAGCAAACCAGCGTGCTGTGGATTTAGGTTGTTGAACCCCCAGCATCCACTGTGTAAAACCCTCCTCCACACCCATTCAGCTTAACCCCCGGCTCTGGGTAAGTACAGTTTACGCCAGGAGTCTGCCACAGTGCGTGCTCAGGAGAGATGTGATTCTGGAAGAGAAACTAGCAGTGCAGGTCTGTGCTCTTACCGTGATCTGCCCCGAGGAAGTAGCACTCAGGGAGCATGGCTGGGTGCCGAGGATCCACCTCCACACTCACAGAGACGTTGTTCCCTACAGAGAGCACACGAGTCACTGGGGGCTTTGCTTGGCAGGCAGGTGTTTGTGTCAAAATAGGAACATAACCTTTCTTTAGGAGCAGTTTTAAATGGGTTCATTTCATGGGTTCAAACTGAAGCAGGGGAAGTTCAGGTTGGACATAAGGCAGAAGCTCTTCCCTGTGAGGGTGCTGAGGCGCTGGCACAGGGTGCCCAGAGAAGCTGTGGCTGCCCCATCCCTGGCAGTGCTCAAGGCCAGGTTGGACACAGGGGCTTGGAGCAAGCTGCTCTAGTGGAAGGTGTCCCTGCCCGTGGCAGGGGGTTCAAAGTGCATAAGCTTTAAGGTTCCTTCAACCCAAACCAGTCTGGGATTCTATGATTGTTTTAATCCAGACTCATTTTCGTTACGCTAAATGATAACAGTTGGTAGGTATCTCTATTAACTGTACAAAGTATCAGTCTCTATAGGAAATATTTACATTTCAATGGGCTGTAATTAAAAATAGCAACTGACTAAAAAAAAACCCCACCAGTCTTGAATTTCTTTAAGTCTTAACCTTAACACTTCAACTTATTTCTGACTGATCAAACTCAAGCCAGATGAGAATCCAGTTGAAATCTTAGTAGAGATGTAATTATTATTAATTCCTCGTTATCTTTTACAGTCAAAAAGAGAAGCCTAAAACCAATTTTAAGCAGTAGAAGTCAGTCCCCTCTGCAGCACACACACTCAGTGATGCAGATCAGTGATGCAGTGATGCACTCACTGATGGAGTGAACAATGGCTTACGCCTGAAGTGGCTAATGTCCTTCTTGCACAAGGTGCGCCCTCACCCTCGGAAGGGCTGTGTATTCCTAAAGGGTAAACAGCCCAAAAATGGTCTGGATCCAGGTTAAAAACCTTGCGGCAAATTCTTCTCTAAATAAAACCAGGTGAAGTCCAATGTGTTTTCATAATTAAGAGGTACATGAGGCTTCCCCTCCCTGAAGACACTGGAATGAATGAAATCCAGTCCTAACCAAAGACTGTGACTGTTGACAAAGGGCTCCCAGTCCATAGTGCCCTCCCCTGATCTCCTCTGAGGTGCCTCCTGAGGCTTTTCCTTAGTCCGTGTCAAGATACAATGGAACCAAGACAAAGCCAGGCACAGAAAAGCGGTGTCCAACCCACAGCTGCTGAACCTTTCCTTGCCTGTCCCTTCCCTCTGTCCCTGGGGATGGAGCAGCTTCAGCATCCCGTTGGCTCCATTCCTTCCTCACAACTCAGGTCTGTTTCGGCCCATTGTGTGTTCTCACATTTCTCCAATATCCTCTTGATGTTTTGGATTTAAGCTAAAAATCAGAACTCTTCTTTCAAAAGTAACATTTCCCTCCCTTCTCTACCCTCTGACAGCAGCAAGCTTCGCCCCTGCCATTAGAAGCTTCCTTATCCCATAGATACTCAGACCTTAAATGCCAGTCATCAGCATATGAATCGAACAGTTCACAGTGTAAGCCTCCAATCTCCTCTCTTCTCTTCCTTCTTTGTCCTTTCCACCTGCCTCTTTTAACCCCCTTTTCTCCCTTTTGACTGCACTTTGACACTCCTTTCCCTCTTCCAGGACAGGATCAATCTAAAGCAATGGTCTGTGAATGAGATAAGGGCTTCACCTAAGCTGATCTTTCTTACAAATACAGGTTTTTCTAGAGTTCTCCTGCACAGCCTCAGTTTCTGACAGGTCCATGTTTATCATTCACAAACACACACAGTTTTCCTGGAGAAATGTAGGTTCTCTGTAGCACCATAAAGCTGTAATTGGCATCCTAAACCAGGTTGGCCATTCTGTGGCAGGGTCTTTTAATACACAAAAGAAGACAGTGGTGTCTTGCCAGTTTTAAGAGCTTCCTTGCATTTTCCTAACTCCCAGAAACACCATCTGTTCAGATCAGTAAAGCAAACAGCACCCCTCAAATCCATCACATTCCTTTAAATCTTTCCATACCTATAGCGATTCTTCTTGTTGTAGCACCCCGCGTGGGATTTTCTGGCTCAAGCACCCATGTCTTCCCATCTATTTCATCCATGGCATCCCAGAATTCTTTCACTGATTCCAATGCTGCCAGGAACTGATTATAAATGTCCAGTAAGGAGCTCTAAGAAAAGAAGTTAAAACTAATTTCATAGGGTTCTCACCCACAGTCATACCTATAATGGGTATGGATCTAGGTGATCTTTAAGTCCCTCCCCATCCAAACCATTCTGTGATTCTACATCCATGAAAACCAAACTGCAGGTGATTTAAGAAGCATTAAGATCAAGTGTGTGTCCTTCTATATTGTGGTAGCATAAAACTTGGAACCTCACAGGTTTTCCAATAGAAACAACACTGTGTTCCGAGTCCAAACACGTACTCCTGGTGGTTGTAATGTGTTGTGATACACGTACACCATACCTTGAACTGACAGTGGTTTATACTCCTCAGAAAACTGGTAACTATCGAATTGCATTGTAACTTGTAACAAACTACAGTAAAATGAAAGTAAAAATCCTCATTGTCTACTATTAAACATCTCACATTCAGCACCTTCTCTCTCTGCTTCAGGTGAGCAACACGGTGGTGGTACCCCATAAATACACAGAAATACCCACATAACTAAAGTAGCTGATTCGGTTTTTGGATTCTGAAATGCAGCTTAGCAGTGTCATAATTAGCTCAAAATTAAGCAGTACAGAAACACGTACTTAATGTTAGGTTTTAAACCATGTAAATGGGGTAAGAGAAGGAGAAACTGTCTCCTAATCAGAGGATTACACTTGAGGGATTTCAGTATTTGAGAGTGGATTAGATGGAATCAGATCTCTCATTGTACAGGGCAACACAGAGAACAGCAATGCCAAAGAGGTGTCCTGGTGACCACTGAGCACAGAAGCAGTGACTGTTCCTACAGGGAAGGGCTGCTGCAAGTAGAGCAAACACCTTGCCAAAGGCAAGGACCACAGGGTACAAACCTGATTCCAGGGAACCGAAGGGAGATGAAGACCACAAAAGGAGGAGAAGGAAGGGGAGTTCTGCTTGAGTAACACCCCTATGGGTTTGAGTCCACTGTGGAATCAATGGAGGAACTGGGAAGTGCCACAGGCAGAGCAGCAACAGAATGAGGAGCCATGGGCTGTGGCTCTGTGGGGAGAGGTGAAGCTATGACAGGAGAAAAGGCAGCAGGGAAGGGAGACCAAGGAGGGGGGAAGCGTTCTGGGGACAAACACTTCCCCAGTAACTTGTTTTCTTCTATTGTTCGGTATTGAGGAACTCAAGAGTAGAAAAAGAGGAATTGTTTGGGAGCACCAATGGGTGTTTTGAAATGGTTTACACAGAATACAAGTGAGCAAATGAATACATGAGTAAAATAGCAGGAAGGATGGGAGAGAACCGAGAGGATCTCAGCAATGTGGAGAAAGACACAGCAAAGTAAGCTTTGAAAGCAAAAAGAGGTAGCAAGGGCCAGATTTCAGGTATTCTTCTCCCAGTTTTCAGGTATTTTTTAGCCAGATTTCAGGTGGGTTGTTTTTTTTTTTACCAGATTTCAGGTATTCTTTTCCCAGTTTTCAGGTATTTTTTAGCCAGATTTCAGGTATTTTTTAGCCTGGAAAGCAGTTGTTGGGGTCAAAACCAAAAAGCAAATTAAGTAGGTCATGAAGAGGTATTTGTCTCTAAATAACACAAAACACAGAACAGCTTCCTTTACTCACTAGTGACGATGTCCTTCCTTTCTCACCTGGACAAACAGCAGTGAATTATAGGAACATTCTCCAATGAGGAACTGTGATTTTTGTATGGAACAAGGTTTTAGGCTTTGTGCACACATTTTAGAAGGAAACAGCGTAGCTTGGAAATAAAATGCTCCTTTTTTTTTGCCCTGCTGTTATTAGAGTATATGAAAGTAGGGAAGCACCTAAACAGGAGAGTGTGAACACTGCCAATCTCCAACTGTAACGCTTATTATCTTTAAAAGCATTTTGTTACTTTTATAATACCTGAAGTGATATCGTAGTGTCAGTCACTTAACCACATCTTAGGGTATAATATCTTCATCTTAAGTACTATTATTTCCAGTATTTTAATAATTTTCACACAGTCCTGAAATGTGATCTTTTGTGCTCTGATGACACTTAAATTAATAGCATAATTTTCTGGTCCTTGCAACAGTTGCTTTCCATTTTGATTTTGTACATTTTTCTCTATCACATCCAGATAAATCCTCTAATAATAATTTTTATCTTTATCTTCTGGGAATTCAAAGGGTTTCACTAGAAAAAGGAAACATCAAGGGATTAGAACCCACAGATAAATTTTAAAATCCAATTAATTTTAATACTAATTGTAATTTTTCAATGATGTTCCTTAAAAAGGTAGTTAAATCTCTTCTTTTTTCTTAATGCGCTGTTCATTTGATCTTATTTGCATGCTTCATTGATGTTGCCAGCTGTCTCCTGCTATATACATCAATGCATCTATAGCTATTTAAATACACTGCATGCTTGTCATGCAAACCATGAAAACTCTAACATTCCTTTTTATTTGATTAACCGACTGATTTTTGGTCATTGCCCAATGCTTCTAGAAAAGACTATCAGGGTTTTTGCTTTGTCTACAATGCACCAACACGGTTGTCAGGAACGGTGTCAAACACCACAAACTCCTTGTTCCCCAGTCACCTTTGTACAACTGGATAAGAATTTGTAGGAAATATGTCAAATGGTGATTGGAAAATAAGGCATTCATCAGCCAGGATATTGTCAGGGGCTTCCCTGGCTCTACAGAGCACGAGCAAACCCAGACCTCGGCATCTGCTGGATTTCCATGCTCATCGGGTAAAACATCCCCTAGAGAAAAAGGACATTGTGGAGTTTTGTCTTTCACAACAACTTAAAACTAAATGAAGATGCTACCCAGGGGAGGCAACGGAGATGCTGCGAGGGCTGGAGCAGCTCTGCTCTGGAGCCAGGCTGAGAGAGATGGGCTGGGGCAGCCTGGAGAAGAGAAGGCTCCTGAAGGGGAGACCTGAGAGCAGCTCCAGTGCCTGAAGGGGCTGCAGGAAACCTGGAGAGGGGCTTGGGACAAGGGATGTAGGGACAGGCCAAGGGGAATGGCTTGAACCTGCCAGAGGGGAGACTGAGCTGAGCTCTTAGGCAGAAGCTCTTCCCTGTGAGGGTGCTGAGGCGCTGGCACAGGGTGCCCAGAGAAGCTGTGGCTGCCCCATCCCTGGCAGTGTTCAAGGCCAGGTTGGACACAGGGGCTTGGAGCAAGCTGCTCTAGTGGAAGGTGTCCCTGCCCGTGGCAGGGGATTGGAACTGCTGGGATACACAGCACTCCTTTAGTCAGTGACAATCAGATGTTCTGGACCTATCTGTTTGAGGGGAACCTACCTTCTACCTTGTAGTTTTGCAGCATTTCTGTTTCATTTCTATCCTCTGCATTCTCACCTCTATCTCATCACCGGTAGCTTCTCATGCCAGTTCTTTCCTGCTTTAAGTTCATTCCAATTCAAACACTTTCCCAAGCTCAACCCTATTGCCCAGGCACAGTTTTCTTCAATTAAAGGAATGAGAAGTGGGGAAAATAATCACTGTACTCTTGGTTCTTATCTCTAGAGCCATAGGAGATGGGAAGAATAAGGAGAAAGACTTGAGTCTGCACCTGCCATACATAAAGCCCATGAAGCCTCTCAGTAGCTTTTAAGAAGTGCTATATGCCTATATGGCCATGCTGCCCAGTTTTAAACACCTGCTCCAACTCCTGGATGAACTAGACTTGAATCAAATGGCACTAAATAAGTTCTAATTCAGGTAAATACAGCACAATTGATTCAAGTTTATATTTTTATTAAAAGATAGAAATGTGGTCTTTATTCTGAGGGGTTTTTGCTAAAAATTCTTCCTAACACAAAATTTGCTTACCCAAAATGAAAGCAGTTAAAGCATAATGGAAAAGGGAAAACAGCCTCAACTGCAGGTGCTGGTACCCCGTTGCCCTTAGAAACTCATAGATAGAATGTAATTTAATAAAGTGAACAGTTCCTGCATGGAGAAGGGGTCACCTAAATAATGGATGATTCTTTAGATTTGTTTGGGAGCTGTTTCTTTCCCACCAACAGTAGTTTAACAATCCCTGAGGCACAACAGTCCGAAACCTGTCTAACGCCTCGTCAACCACCTCCATTTTCTGTATTTGCCTGTGAAGCTCCTTTGCTAAGAAAAAGCACAATTATGATGCATTTTACTGTGCTTTCATCAAGATAACCGAAGAATAACCCCATTCACATCACTGCACCTCGGGATCTTGTATCCCGGTTTCAGCGCTGGCTGGCTGCGTGACCTCATTAGTCATTAATCCCCACTCTCATGACCTTCATGTAGCCAACCAGGTGGGCAGTGGTCAGTATAGAAAGAACACCCTGATGCGAGGGCAGCAGAATATAGATGCACTGAGGCTGCAGAACCCCGCTTAGTGAGGCTGAAACGTGGAGGCAGCACATTTGTCTGGTTATTTAGAAAAAGAATATAACTGAAATAAGTAGATGTTCTTGCACTTGTCATTGAGAAGCACTCTGCATTTATCTGGCACTTAAAACAGTAGCAGCAGCATCATTGCCCTTGGTGCTGATTTCTTACTACTCTAAAATGTCTCCTCTGAGCCAGAATACACTGGCTGTTGCTGCTCATGCTGTGAGACACCTGCACTGGCTACTAGGCTTGTCATGACGCACAAAACCCTACCATCTTCAGCTTGACATTGTGCAAGTTATAATTATTCATCCAAATGAATATGTCAGAGCAGCAGCAGCAGACCTCTCATCAGAGCAAAAGAAAAATACATCAAAACATTATCAACCCAGCAGGAAGACAGGGACCATAAGGAAAATTACCCATTTTTAATATGGATGCCATAATGCCACGTCTATTATTACACAGAGGGAAAGGGGAAAAAAAAAGGGAGGAAAAAAACCCAACCACCCAACAACCCCTCAAGTTTAAAGTCCACGAGCACTGAAAAGACCCTGAAATAGGCAACAGCACACATGAGGAAGTGGGGAAAAACAAGAGGAAATCGATTACTTGAAATCTATTTCTATTTTCTTCCATAGGAGTTTATATTCTAATAGTGCAATTGCATCATTTTAGTTAAGCCTTGTCAGTTTTTACATTGCATACCAATAAATATTAAAGGCTAAGACTTAACAGTATCAAAAGTTCATGTTATTTTACTAGATAAGAAGTATAGTATGTTCTTTTTCCAGTTTGGGAACCTGAATTTTAAGCACTTAAGCTACAAGGGGTGTTCCAGCATTCTCTAAGCTTAACCCTCCCTTTACCGTGGTGTAAGGACTGCTTCCTGCAATGACTTCAATGCATTTTGAAAGTAACCCCAATTTACACAATGCTTAACACCCATTTTGATCCAGAAGGTTTAGGTTTGTGTCACCTACACTGATAAGGTTGATTTCCCCAAAAGAGCAGGCAACAAAAGCATTTCTATGAGCACAAAGCACAGGCTGCTGGTATTTGGTTCAGTTTTGTAACGGGCTGTCTGCAGCCAGAATTAGGACCTCTTGATTCCAAAGCAGGGTCTTCAGTCACATACAGACATCTATTGTTTACAAATAACCCATAGATAATTCAACTGTATAAAGACTTGAAGCATTAGAAAGCCATATTTGTAACATCAGGTTTTTACTTGTAGTGTCAATATTAATACACTCATTCCCATCTTTATCCTGTCAAAAAAGGCTGCTTTGTACCATGTTTTTCAAGAACACTTCATTAAAACATAAGGGCAGTTAGTAGCTCTCAACATACTAACAGTAAACACAGCAGAAAGGGCTGTCAAGGATATTTGAAACGTTGTTAATTTGAGGCAGCACAAGTTGCAAGGCTGTAAAGTTAATAAAATACTATTAAAAGTATGGATGGAGATTGAGGTTAGGAACAGTACTTGAAATCCTGCTTCTGGTATATGGAATCCAGTATAATGTAAGGGACAAACAGTATCTGTTTATATTGTTCCAAACTGTGCCAGAGAATCAAACCCTACTATTATATGGGAAACTAATTATACATTTATTTTATATATATATATATTTAGGGTTTATGTATATATATATATATATACACACACACTTCATTTGCAGTGGCCACTGTTGCAGTTAAAGCTCTCAGAGGATGTCAGAACCTTAATCGTTGCAGCCAATTATATGCCTTCCCTAAAATCCTTCTGCTGCAACCTTTTCCCATGTTCCCTACTAAATCTATGTAGATTTAGTGCCATCAAGACAGGCTTTATGGATGGGTAGGAATCCTCGCGAGAGTCAGAGTTATGAAACACAATCATTTAGGTAAAATCTATTTTCCTGAATGAAATGAAATTAAACATCAACTATTTTCTAGAGATAATTCAAATTAACTTACATCTAAGTGGTCACATTTAAATCCATTTAATCAAGTACACATGCTCTATTAAGGGGAAAAGATACATGAAATAATGCAAGAGAGACTAAGACAGTGGCCCTTGGTTCTTTATATTAATAGTATCTGTTAAACTACGAGATCAGGATTCTATTAAGTACTTCCCTGTTGTTCTTTTGATTTTAACTGGAAAAGTTTTATCGCATTATGAATACTATATGGGATAAATTGTGGGACTGCCTTTTTTTAATGTCGCTCAACTTTAGAGGGTGTTTCTCATGCCTGTATTTCCCCAATTTCATTCCCAAAGAGATTTGAGCCATATGAACAGCTTAAGAAAACTCCAGCCAGTATAAGCATAAAGCATACAGCATGCAAGATGTATCTATATGGCAAGGAAAATATTGAGACCACTCTCATAAGGAATAAGGGGTGCAGTAATATTACATTCACATAAGCATGTATAAAAGGAAAATGCACACGGGGGGGGGGGGGGGGGGGGGGAAGCTGGAGTTAAATAATAAAATCCAACCCCTCATTACCACCAACACATTGTGTAGATATCTCAGTTATTAAAAAGAGATGGGGAGTACAGCAGTTTACCTGGGGCATCCAAGAAATAGCAAATGGAACTGGAAAATCCACAAGGCAATCCGGTGGTTCTGTTGGATACTGAGGGAGGGAAAGAACGTTTAGAATCAGCCCGGTACACTGATGCCAAATGTGGTAACAAAATACGAGCACTTCAAGCACCTTGAGAACTTGGCTTTTAGAGGAAACAGCATGGCAAGCATTTTCAGGAATAGTTATGAATGTTCACTGTAATTTAAAGAAGAAATCTAGATGTGAACAGGTTTTATACATCAGTTTGTAGTAAGGGCAGGAGAATCGCAGTTTGCTGTGCTCAGTGTGCTCAGAGACATTAAAACAATTTGAGACAAAAACATCAGATATTCAAAATTTCTCCTCATGTACCTGTACTGGAAAGTTAATAAATAACATACCACCTTTTCATGAGTCAAGAATGAAGTTTCATTTCAACTAGAATATCTGCTCTAGTTGGCAACATTTCTTGGCTTGAAACTGAAAGGCATCAAAGCAAGTACGTAACTATTTAGAAAGAGATGAATGAACATATAGCCCAAATTAAAAGAACTTGCTGCCCCCTCCCCCCCAAATTAAAAGGCATCAGTGAGGAAGATTAAAAATAGCTGTATTAAAAAATCCAAAGCTATAAAAGGTTTGCTAACTCCAAAAATAACCATACACTACACCAGTAAATCATAGAAGCATAGAAACATAGAATGGTTTGGGTTGGAAAGGACCTTAAGATCATCCAGTTCCAACCCCCCTGCCATGGGCAGGGACACCTCACACTAAACCATGGCACCCAAGGCTCTGTCCAACCTGGCCTTGAACACCGCCAGGGATGGAGCATTCACAACCTCCCTGGGCAACCCATTCCAGTGCCTCACCACCCTAACAGTAAAGAACTTCTTCCTTATATCCAATCTACATCTTATATACAAATCTAAATTCTACCAATGATTTACACAGCAGGTTTATAGAAACTGTATTGGGGTTTATATCGTGTTAGTACAAGAAAATGTTACAGAGAATCTTATCTGGGGAGACATGAAAAGAAGTCACAGCTTCCTGTCAGAATTAAAGAGTTAAGGCAAAGAGGTGAAGTTCAGCTGTGCTGCTTCCCATAATCATTCTCCATCCAAAGTAAACGTGTAGACATAGATATTTATCTTATTTATCAGGTACATGGCAATCAATTGATCCTAAGTTTTTAAATGTCTTTATCTTATGTAAAAAGTAATTCTGCAGTAATGTAGAATGATGTAATTCTAGAGGAATTTGTTTCTAATTGCTCTCTATGGCACAGAGCAAAAAATAGACAAGCTTCTCGAGGGCATCCATCCTTCATTGCTTTGATTTTAATAACAACCTAGTGAATTTATGGATTCACTAGGTTGTTATATAATAATATATAATATCTATAATATATGTATTATATACTATATTATATATAATTAGATATAATATCTATAACAAATATGGATATTTAAGTTGCTTTTTAATTTGCCTTCCTTTGTGGTTTGCATTCGGCATCTCCTCTCTGAAGACACATCCTAAAACCTCAATATCCTGTGCCTTTCTCTTTCATCATACCTGTGGCAGACAAGTTAACAGTGACAGAGCAAGAGAAGTGAAACAAGTGATTTGGAGGGGGGGCAGTTACAGCTTGCAGATGTACAGACACCAAAGCTGTTTCTCCTACTGCAGTGTTACTGTAAGCACTGGTTTTGTATTGTAGGCATTATTTTGCATGAAATAGTTTGATACTTGCATAGAAATACACTTGTTTTCAATGTATAAAAGTAAGTCTAGAACAAACAATTTTTCCATAGGATTAGGTTTAGGGCTACCTCATTTAAATCCCAGTGGCACGAGACAATTATGTGGTTACTTTCCAGGGGAATTCATTTTATGCAGTCTATTGTAGGGTGCCTTTGAACAAGTGCTTGCAAACAGCTTCTGCTAACTTTGTATTACTTTAAAAACAACCCAAACCAAAAAACCTACAGTCCCTTTTCCCCTGCATTTTCAGTCACATTTTCTTCAAGAGCACAGTATTGGGCTGTGCACCAGGTAAGTGCCAAGAACTATGCAATGATTCTGTACATATGTACATGATGGTTTTCATCCTTGCAGTGTGAAATCCTATGTAAGTAAGGTGAGTGATTCCTCAGGAGATTATAGTGTTTTAAAATACTATACCAGAACATATCAGCACCATCCTATTGCCTACAGTTACAGTCAAATGTATACGTTGGCAATCATCCTACTCTTTAGAACTTAAGCAATTATGAGACCAAATGTTTATATTGTATTTTTGAGCATGCAGCTAACTTTATCTAGAAAAAGGATTTCCATAACCCAAATCATTCAGACAAATATCAGAGCATCCTGAGGACTACGTGGCATGCAAATTCTTGCAATGGTCTATTTGAATGCTTGGGATCTGAAATGAAACCTGAGAAATAAAGGCCACACTTTTGAAGTTGCATGCTTTGTTTTCAGAAATCTTCTCCAGTCATGTATGTAAATTGAGAACAGATGAAGGTTTCTGGACCAAATAAGTCAGAAAACTAGTTCACAAAATGTAATCTGAGCATTAAACAATATAGCCTCTTATAAGACTTAACCTTAATCACTTATACAAGTCAAAATTGGGAAGGAGATGATTTGGTTAGCCTACCTAGCTATGACCATTCTCAGGTCTTCCAGGTTTAATTATGACCCCAAGTTTCCTAGACACTTCACAAACAGTTTACAGAGAGCAAGGGTTTTGAAAGGATAGTTCCTAACACAAAGCACCTTCAGACATGGAGAGCAGGTGGAAAGAGCGCCAATGCACACAGGAAAAGTCCTCAAAACACACCCAAACTGCTAAGAATGATGGCAAAGGAATATTATGGGGATTATCTCAATACACATGATAAGCTTATGAAAAAGAATTTCCTAAATCACTTCATTGAAGAGTTTCTTCCCCAAAACATTGTTGACAGGCTTAGAAACTCATTTACCTGCATGGCATTCATGAGGGCAAGGCTGAACAAACCCATCTGCCAGAACACAGGCAGGAGCCAGCCATAGATGCTGGGGAGGAAAGGTTTAGCTCACATACAAACCTTAATCAAAGCAGCAGCATTACAAAAATAGATGCATTTTGGGGTGTAGTTTTACTAAAGAAAGTTCTTAAAAGAAATCCCTTCAAAAAAACCCCACTTCAGTGAAGTCTTTTCAAATGTTTTAGATACATATATGAAAGAAAATCAAATCCCCATGTCACCCAAACCACATTTCACACAGGAATTTTCTCTTGTGACAAGTTTAAATGCCAGACATGGTTTAAAAAGGACAAGCAATTGATCCTTCATCATAACAACTGCTTGGAAAAAAAACAAAAGGAAAGGAAAAAGATTGATGACTGCTTGTTACAACAGACACGTTGGATAATCTGGTCTCTTTATTACACCATAACCTTAGATGGTGTTTTCTTCTGCTATTAGAAGTCTCAGATTCAGATATTTCTTTATTATAAGGAAAACACACAAGTTTTCACAAGCCCAGAAGGTTATAATCTCTGTTCTCTATTCTCTATGATAAATTATGGCTAAACTGAACCAGACAGTGCTTAAGTGTAACAGTGTTTGACCACAGCTGCTGCTTGGTACAAATGGCTAATGCACTGTATTTTTCCTACAGTTTTATACTTCCAAATAGTTGAAATACTTTCCTTGCATCACCATAAAAATCAAGACAAAACTTAGGGGCACCAGGCTGCACTTAATTGCTTGTGTCATACTAAGTCTGTGATAGCAGCTCCATTATAAATCACGACAACAGAGTCTGGTCACTCTCCTCGCATGCTAAATAAGCCATAATTGTACTTCCCGATATATCTTTTCCATCAATGTATTTAATGGAAAATTAATTGTGCATCCATTAGTCTGTGCATGTAGGACAGTTATACTCTTTTTAATATCCACTTTAGCAACCTTAATTCCTAACCAGCCCTTTTTCCATGGGCTTTTTCCCCTCTAAGGTAAAGTTAACTTGTTTTATGATAAACTCAAAACTCCAGGTATTTAAAGGAATATGGGATGTCTGTAGAGGTGAAATTTAACCTTCAGTCCACTCCTCATGCCTTCAAGATTATTAGTCCAAACAATAGTTCAAGGATAGTCCAAACAACAATATTTAGACATTTCTGGATCCATTTTTGTCCCCTAGACTGATTTTCTGAAGACAACAGCTATTACCACCCAATTGTCACCATCCCTGGGTATTCGTAGTTCCTGGATAATCATGAAATGAGAAATTCTGGAAATGAGAAGTTCTATGAAGAAACACTGCAATTTGAGTTCAGCTTTAAGTACGAGGAAGAACTAAATGCCATGGATTTGCTTCGCAAGCTATCACAATCAGACAATAGTATAGACTAAAATGAAGTAACTTTTTTTAACATAAGAAGCTCACTTCTGTAGTTAGTTTTTCATACATCTTTACATCTATAGCTTTAACAGTAAGGCTTCCTAAACAAGCAACCCACCATCCTCTCTTTCTTGTTATATGTATGGTCTCTGGATGGAGCGATAATGAATCAAAGCCTCCCAGGAGGCTTTGTCTGTAACCCAGTAAAATAACTGCAATATCATAAAGTGCTTTGATGCATAAAGTGTGATGCACAGTTTCATATGGAAAGATTCTTACATATAACCATAATGCAATATTAATTTTAAATATAGTCTGAAAACTCTATTTTCTATTAACACCCGCCCCCCCAGTTAACTTGCAGAACAGCCACACTAACAAACCAACTCCGTAAAACCCTTTCAAATTAAGAAACATCCATTTATCACAAGGAAGCCTTAAGATATTTTCTCCCCCATAAACTCACCTTTGCATTGAACTTTAGAGTGATGATATGCTGTCGACCACAAGAGTCTTCAGCTTTCAGCTTGATTGTGGTGAGACCAGTATCCATGTATGCAACTCTGAAAGAGAAAAGAAAACTCCATACAGCATTGTGAAGTCCAGTTTGAAACGTCTGCATTACTCTTATTAGTCTGTTACAAATATTAATCAGAGGAAGCCCTGTATGCCAACCATTTCTGCTGTTCTGGATTTACTGCTGTTAATACACCAGTCAACTGCTTAATGCAGTCATATATCTTTGGGTTATTTACAATGTGTGTCAAGGCTCATGCTGTGGTCAGTGAGCACTGTGTTTCAGTTTTCCATCACCGGAACCTTTGACACCCACAGCATGTTCCTGTCAGCCTCTACTTATGTACACATTAAACTTCCTGTCAAATCTTTGATCCATTTCTGCAGTTTCTTTACTGTATGAGACTTTTATGCCCTTGATTTGCTTTTCTCTTCAATGAAGTTCTCTTTTATTATCAATACTATTATTGTAGAAAATTCAGTGGATATTACCTCATATCCTAGAATTGATTTCCTGCAGAAAATAATACCCAAACAGGTACAAAATGAGTTATTTATGATGATTTGCCTCTGCTTCGTGAGAGTTTTACACAGTATACATGCACCTAACCAAGTAGCAAGTACACATTAAATGTAAGTTTTAAAACTTCTGACATAATCACAGACTCTTTGCTCGAAGATGTCACTGATTTGCGCTTCCCACAACAATAAAGGTGAATACAACTGTAAAACACATTGTTCTCTAGAAATGGGTTCAACTGAATAGCTTCAACAACTACCAAAAAGGTTCAAACTTCTCCATCTATTTCCCAGTGAACTGGGCCCGTGGATAATCTGGCATTTTTACCATGTTGTTCTTGTTGAAAGATAAAAAGCAGCCCAAGACTATTGTACAACTTATCACCTCTGACTGATGGAAAGGCCTTAGCAGAGTTCAAAGAAAGCATCTGCTTGCTGGCCTAAGTAACATTTATTTTTTCAAATCATTACATACTAGTCCAGACACTTGAGCCAGCGTGCTGGGAAAAACAGTTCTCTTTCCAGTGGAAACGGCAGTGGAGTTACAGAAGCCTGTACACGAAAAAGCAGGCATACAGCAAAGGGTGTGCATGTAGGAAGGAAGGGGAAAGAAAATGATCTCCATAAATGATACAGCCTCAAATATGAATGGACTTAAAAATACAGACGGAAAAAGCAGTGCTTGTAGTGAGTAGGGAAAGAGATCTATTATCCCATGTTTAACTTTAATGCAATATTAAATAGTCCTGGTAGTACTTTGACGCTCCTTTTCTCCACAACAGTTGAAAGAAATAAGGCTTTATAAAAGTGTAATTCAACTGCAGCCAATTAAACCTGATTTATTTAGAAAGAATTAGAGCATTCTGCCTCTAACTGGAAGAAAATCATTGTTCCTGCTTTGTTCCAACTTCACCTTAAAATTACATCACAAAGTTTTACAAAGATAAGAAACCTATATCTCACCTCTCCAACTATTGTTGCCTAGAGTGGGGAAATCCTAAACCAGCAGCTAAGGCACAGAATGGTTACTGTGATAAAACACATAGCAGTATCCAAACCAAAGTACAGCCGGCACCTGCGTCAGTGCACTATAAGGTTAAATGGCAAAAGAGAATGGAAAAAATAAAGGGATGCTGTCAAGGCGTTTAGGATTTAAAATGATCTGTTCCAACAATCATAATGTCTGGACCACCTCACTCTGGAGATGCCAGAAAGGTGTGGATTATTTTAGTTTAAAAATAATGTTTGCATTTCCTTATTCTATATTGGCTGGGAGGAAACAAGATTAAAATATTATGTGGATTTCTTAAATACTGATGGACATACATAACTTTAAATTTACTTCTGAAATCCTAAAGGGTTTAGTACTTTTACAGTTACTTTCACAACCTAACAGTCTCTAAAAGAAACACACATGCATGCGTGCACCTAGCTACAGATTTTAAAATAGAAATATATGCACACCCTTATAATAAAAATATAGTGACAATATGATTATGTTCAACCATATTTGGAAAGAATCTTCACCTTCAGTTTTACTGACAGTGTAAATTAGACAAAGTTTAAGAAGAAAAAAGGTAAGCATTTGGAAAAGATGCAGAGAGCACCGATAATGGCTCCCCATTGAGTTACCTATAGAGGGATACATCATAAAGTGGTTTTTCAAGTTCTGTCCCTTAATCGATTTTTAACATATGTAAAGTGTCTTTTCGAACCAGTTTCAAATATGATTTTCACTGAGCTTGGAAATAAGTGGAAAAAACGTAGATCATCACAGCTATTAAGCACCACTACAACCTGAACCCACCTCCAACTCTTCTTTTATTTCATTGACATCAACGACTGGTTGTTAGTAGGAGATAACTATACAAGCTAAACAAGACAACACCTTTTAAGTATTATTCATCACAAACCATCTACTTAGAGGCTTTCTAGTAAGATATCCCCTTTCAAACTTTGTCCCAAACAGGAACACTATGGGGCCTGTAAGGATGCTGGCGAGGGCCTCTTCATTAGGGACTGTAGTGATAGGACAAGGGGCAACAGGTTAAAACTTTAAAGATTGGATGGAAGGAGGAAGCTCTTTCCTGTGAGGGTGGTGAGGCACTGGAATGGGTTGCCCAAGGAAGTTGTGAATGCTCCATCCCTGGCGGTGTTCAAGGCCAGGTTGGAGGAAGCATTGGGTGACATGGTTTAGTGTGAGGTGTCCCTGCCCATGGCAAGGGGGTTGGAACTGGATGATCTTAAGGTCCTTTCCAACCCTAACTGTTCTATGATTCTATGAATAAAAACACTGTGACAAGGGGCATACAAGGTTAAAGAATGCTCAGAATGAAAATTTGTAGCCAGCCTTCCTTCTTCCCAACAAAATGTAACAACAGTAAACTAACTCTGGGATATGAAGGAGGATTCAGTTTTCCATTTAGGTTAGAAAAAAGGAACTCGGTAGCTTTGTGCCTACCTGTTCTATATAACACCACTACTATTCTTTGGATAAGAAGGGATAAAAGGGGCAGTTCCGTTAGAGTGGAGAAAGTTGGACAGTGCTGCAAAAGTCAGAGGAACTACTTCATATGATTGCCTAATCAAATAAGGAATTGTTTGCATAGGTGGTATTTCAGTTATAGATACCTTCATTCCTCTGTAGGCTCCATCGTTTTATCACACAAAAAACCAGAATGACCATAAAGATGGAAAGCCTCCGTTAAATATCTGAAGTACTGTAATTCAGCATAACACACGAATGATTGAGAGCAGATGACAATGCATCCCCTTGGAAACGGGGAAGGAAAGAAAAGAAGATACTTACATGAACAACCTTAGCAAGTATCAAGCAAAACCACATTGAGACTTGAGAGATCATGACTCACACCATGGCCTTAGGAGGTATTAGCAACCTTCATGAATCCATACGAGGGTGACAGGAGTCCTACAAATCTTTGAAAGTCCATAATTTACCTCCCCAAGATACTGTCACTGAATCAACCAGCGAGGTTATGAGATAGTATTAGAAGAGCCTTTCCTATAGCTTAGTACTACTACACGTGTACTCTCTCCCACCTCAGCTGATTAGGTTTGTGCTGGTATTTTTCCATGTTCTTAAAATGAAGGAAGTATCCTTTGGACTCCTCAGCTTGTAGGACAGCACTTAGTGTTGGAAATCTGGTACAATTTTATAACCTGCTAAACTGTGACTGTTGTGTACAAGTAGTTGAATAGGAAAGCGTATTCACCCTCTCCCACACCTAACTTAGGTCAAAGAATCAAGTTCTCTATGATACAGAGAAAGTGATTATATCTAATCACAGCAGCCTGCCCATTTGCAATCCTCATTACTGTTTGTACTTTCAGTGGCTTAGGATGGAAGAGGTGCAAGATCATTGCAGATAATGCCTTCAATTTGTTTCTGAGAAACTTCACATATTCCTTAGATAAAAGCCATTAGAACACACTAACTTTGTGCCATACCTGGAAGCTTCTGAACTCGCTTCAGAGGTAAAGGAAGCATAGTTTATTGTTTTGATTTATCTTCAAACAAAAGATCCTTCTGCTTTTCAGTTGGATTTGGATGCAGTCAGCTTCCAGCATGACCCAAAACTCACTAGGAAATAGTAAATCTAGGGTCCACAACAAGCCAGTTCTTTTCTAAGAAAAAACCTGATAAATAAAGCTGGAGGCTTCTCAAGGTGTGAGCAGGGATGGATCCTTACTGCCAGTACCAAATGCAGGCTTAATTTTGTGCTGAAAGACCATACCAGGATGTTTTCAACTAACATGCAAATACACATTGCCTGCAACTCAGAATCAATCTTGATTATGAGACCTTCTTAGCAGCTCATTATATTGTTTAAAGCACTCTAAAATCAGAGGTCTAACTTACCAATGCACTTTGAATTGCCTCTCTAAGTTCTTTTCCTTCCAACTCATAATAAACCAGGTATGATACCCTATGTACAGCCCAGCCCTTCAGTTAACAACTTCCCAACCAAAAAACCCTGAAGAGGTACCTTATCAAGGTGTATCTTTACTGAATTACATGACTCAACTTGATAAAAGCACAGCACAATTTGTGTGTCTACACAAAGACCCTCTTTGCTAGAAACCAGGTCAAATTCTGCCCTAGAAGTGTGCCAACAAACCACTGGATGTTTTGTATATGCAGTGACTCGGAAGAAATGTCAGTTTTGAGAAGCTACTCAAATGTGTTTTCAAAGTGTATTTTTAGTATATTTAGCTATATTTATATAGAAAAACAAAAATGTAGTACATTTCATATATTTATATTTTTAAAGTATATTTATTGTCTTTAATTATATACTGTGTTTGTTTTGCTGGCATGGGATTTCTGAAGGGTTTGGGTTTTAGTTGGGGTGAAAAGACTCACTTCCAGCTCTCCTTCTCCCAGAAGATGAACTGAACTGTCTCTTCTTCCACACTCAGTTTATAGCACAGCATACACATGAAACAACATTCTTAGGTGCACCAAGCCTCCAGCCTCAGGTGACACAGTTACACAGTTTATACTCCCTTTGTGCAGTAACCAACATTTTCCCACTTCTCCCCCAACCACGGTCTACTTTGGAGACTAAGGAGTGCTTTTCAATAGCCCTTATCTCCATTTGAATGCATCTGGGTAGCAAAATATATATATATACACGAGTTTCTCTCTGCAGGTGTCACAAATTGCTGGCTTTACAGCTTTCCAAATTCTTCCCTCACCCATTTTTTTCCCCTAGATCTACCTTTTTATGGATTAACTACCTTATTCCTTTGTATAAGGAGATCATTGCAGTACGGAGAGCAAGACAGAACTGTTTCTTTAAGAACAATTATTCTAGTTCTAAAAAATGCGTGAACTGTTTTCATAAAAGCATAAAAGTACATGAAGATGAACCATAGCATATGGGAACAGTCAAAAAGAAAAGCTGTACAAAGTAGGAAAAAGAATGAAGAAAAAGGAGAGCTATAACTGCTGTATTAAATACAGTTACTATGCTAATAGTTTATAGGTCAAAGAAGAACTTATTTCTTGGTAGTAGCATCTCACCTTTCAGCTTTGTTATTTCAGACTTGAAAATACGCCTTCAGTTGATACAGGTTTGTCTGGTTTTTTTTTTAAGTAAAAACAAAGCAGCAGAGATTTGAAAGCAAAGCCAGTTTCTGAACAGGATAAATTAAGAGAACAAGCACAGTGATGCGTTCAACTCACACATACAAAAAAAGAACCGATATTCTAAAGATGTCTGTTAAGAAAGAAAACGAACATACTTATTCCAACCCAGTATTTCAAGATCTCTGACAAGACAGGAGTAGTATTCTGGCGGCCGTGGTATATGCAGGTCTTGTGTATTCTTTAACGCAATTTCCTGTTTAAAAAACATTTAAAACATCATTAAGAGAGATTTCAATATTTTTGCATCTATTTAGCCATGTGATTTTTGCAATCCATTCAAAAATATTAAGCTTATGTAAAATTAACTGTACACTGCATTTGTTTTGTTATAGCCTCCAGCTAAAGCAGACAAAGAAGCTGTTTGGTAAATTACTTCAGATACTGGTAATGAAAACATCTGCAATTTAAAAAAACAACCCCACAGATGTTGACAACTTGGTCTTCAGATGCAAATATCAAATGTGTCTCTTTTTCAGCTAATAAATTTGAAGTCAAGCATCTCGACTGAAAGAACATTTCAAAAGAAGGTTCTATTAAGCCCACAGCTGTCTCCTGGGCCCCGCAGCCACAAAAGATGATACATGTATGAAATCCCTCATATTATTTTTAAGTAGCTATATACAACTTTATGTAGCAATAAAAAATATAAATCAAAAAATCAGTTTCTCAGTTTTAATATCATAGGAACCCAGAGAGTAAGTTTTGGTACAGACACTCATCAAGTATGTCGTAATGCCTCAAGAAGAGGTTTTTATCAAAGAGGTAAAGCCACGTTATAGAGGAAAACCTAAACCAGATGTTCCACATTTCTATTGTGCTACTTGGTCTTTAAAGGTTTATTTCAGTTGAAATCATGCTTACAGGAATTAATGAAACAGATAATAAAATTATTAATAATTGAAAATAAAGGAAATTTAAATGAAAGAAAGAATAAATAAAATGAATCATAAAATCAGTATAACAGCCATTTCTGCCCAGTTCTCCTGAGGTGTCTGTTGTTTTTACTCTCTGCACTGAGGATCACTACTTTATTATTTTGAATTAATTATACTTTGTCTACATTCTCATCTTCTGAGGGCTTGTGTATCCAGGCACAGATTAGGGACTAACTATTGGAAAATATTTCAAAACAGCCACTCAGTCCTGTTCCAAGCACCTTTGCCTGGTTTAGTGTAATCCTGCTTGGCAGGGATTGAACCAATACTGAGAAGAGGCATTTCCAGTGTAAAGCACTAGTGTAATACCAGGAGGGTATTTTGCTGTTGTTTTGAAGAATGCTTACTGTGTTTCATATCTAATTAAGTAAGTTGTATGCAAGTAATCTTTGCCAAGAACGCTCCGAGAGTAATGTTCCACTAATGGACAAGAAATGGTCAGTTAACCATAGACTTTGCTACTCTTCAATCCCACATTAGAAAAAAGTAATAATAAATAATAATAAGCCTCTGAACTACAAAAAAAAAGCTTTCTGCATTTATTGGTCAAGCTGTTGCACAGGTGAAAGCACCTTCAGCAGTCCAGTGACTGTATAATCATTTGTATGATTACCAGCTTTTTTTGCCACCAGGACAATATCAGGAATTCCAAGAAAATCATTGCAAAAAGGATGGCTCTATCCTGAAATCCCCTGCTGCGATTCTAATTTTCCCGTGACACTCAAATTTGCAGAAGGTCACTTAACATTCTAAAGGATATTTACACAAATATTACATGAACATCGTACATACAAAATTACCTTTTCTTAAAAATAAAACCCAACACAAAAATCCATCTATCAAACAGTAAGCTGTAAAAAACTGAAAGTGAAAACCAAAGCTTTGAGAACATCCCATCTCCCACATACATATTCTGTCACTTACCAAAATAGTTTTCAGTTCCACCATAAAGCTGCTGAGATCTGGACAGCTGTGCAGCCTCTGAAGGGAACACAGCGTGAGTTCTTCAACTCATAACTTTCAGTGGTAAACAATTTCAGTCTAATTCTTTTTGTAGCGTTGTCAAACTGACTCTTATAAAAAGCCCCAACTTTATATCACATGTTTAAATATTTCAATTACAGAACAAATGTCCCAGAGTACAGGAAACTTTCCTGAAAAAGTGAAAATCACTGCTGGTGAAAATGAACCATCACCTTTGTCACATGACACATCTGTATAGTTTATAAAGACATTATATATTTATAAAGACATTTATGAAGACTTCAGTCTTCACCAATGAGAACAGAAGCTTTAAAATCAGTCAAAAATGTTTCACAGTTGGTTACATTTTCTTTAGTCTCCAGACCCATTTGCTTTTAGATGCTGTACAAGACTGAGGATCCCTGTTTATCTTCAGAAGCTGTGCCCTTTCCTCAGCTCTGTATCTTTAGTTACTCCCAACTCATAGCCCCTGATCTACAAAGGGGTGCACAGTCCATGAGATAGAGAGTCTCAGCTAGCACTCCTGGCAAAGATGCCTTCTTAGAAAGTTTCTTCTAGATAGAGGGGTTTAATTTAGACTCTGACTACGACAGTTTGTACTACACCAGCAATAGTTAATGTGAATTCTTTTTGCACTATGAACACAAAAATAGATAAAAAATGAAAACCAAAATCTGTTTCTGAGAGATTAAAGACAAATTCCAGTAAAATGTCAGCAGCCATTTATTTTTAAAATGTCCTATCTCAATCTTAAAAAAAAAAAAAAAAAAGCTTGAATAAAGCTAAGTATTTACTACATTCTGTTCATCTGTCCTTAAACTGACCTGCAAATCCTTAAATACACAAGAATAAATCTTGGCTGTACAATGAAAGGAGAGTTCTTTAGCAGTTTTAGAATAGGTTTGTGAATATAAGCTTTTCAAGTATGCACTTAACAAAAATGGGTATAAAAGTTCTATACCTGCTTTAAAATATGCTGATATTGATTCAGTATCTTCTTTAGGTGCCAGCTACACTCTAGCCTAGACAAACAGTATGTTGTGTAAGTTTTAAATTCACAGTAAACGATTTTTATAAGAGATCAGAAAGTCTGCTACACAGCAATATAAAATAACAAAGGAAGTAAATAACACTCCAGAATTTCTTTGAGTTTCACATTCAAAGTTATTTAAAACTTTCAAATGTCACTATCCCAAAGCGCATTAAAAATTAAGCATTTACCTACAAAAGCCTGTTCTTCGCTGAAAACAACATAATTCTTGCAAGCTAGTATGACTTCATAAAATACACCTATGTATAAAAATTACAACCTGAAAATGTCAAAGTTACCTATAATGTGCTTTTAAGTATCTGACCTAGAATGTAATAAAGCTCTCGAATACCACATCTGTTCACATTCAGAGCAGGCTTGCCCAAGAAGAACTATGGACTGTTGAAGTGTGCATACAACACACACACATCTCCATGTATTGCTGTGATAAACACAGTGATAAAAACAGAGCTTTTAAATAAAAGTTCACCAAGTCCATAATTGCTTAAATTTACAACTTTGCACTGAATTTTCTGTTTTCCAAATGGTGACACACAAATAATCTGACTTAAATGAACATTTTTCCTCCCTTTCTATATAAATACACCCAATTAATTGCAACAGGTTTCAAAGTTAATTAACAGGTTTTAATTAAAGAAAATATTTTGATATAAGCAATGTTTATTGTCAAGATTTTACTAACACTGAAGAATATTCTTGCAAGGTTAACTAGAAATCAGTAAGAATTAATTACTGACATTGATATGGGAAAAAAGAATAATTCATATGCATATCCATCATTGCTTTTATCAGAATAAACTTCTGTTATATACATTTACAAATTGCTTTCATAAAACTGTCTTACCTTGCATTTTTCAGTTGACAATCCATTGGTAACAGTATCCTAATGTGGAAGTCTCTACCCTTGAAAATAATCATTTAGTTAATAGGAAGGTCAGGAAAACTATAAAAAAGTAGACACTTGTAGTAAATATTCCCCATAAGATCAGCTACTAAGAAAATAAGTTTGTCTTATGTGACTTTCAGGAATATTATTCAGGATTTCTTTATTCAGGAAAAAAAATACTAGCATGAGTGACAGGTAGAAATAAAACTGATTTTAATTTTGAAGTTGAAGCAGTCTTGACCTCTAACTCTGAGTATCTAGTAAAAGCTTTTCAGTGCATCACCTTTCATAAAGCAAAAATAACACCTTTCAGAAGAAAAATAAACATCATCTAAACCTGGGCAAAACCAAGTAATATAATTTAATCCAAGTTATGCTGAAGCACATAAAAGTCTGTCTTCAACTCGAATAAAAGTCAAAGCAGACTTTTACCATAAAAGTACTTCACTGAAAGGAACCTGGGCACTGATCCACAACACAATCCTGCAAGTCTTTAGAAACTGGAAACAAAAACAGTCCCGAATACACGGATCTAATCATTTTTTCTTTTTAATGCAATTCACCCACTTGTATTTTCAGTAATTGTCCCTATTTGTGATACTCCTACTTTCTTATGAGATGATCAAAATAAAACTGAAATAAGGAAGGTTTGCTAGCAGGTTTAACTCCTCCTTGATGCAAGGAGGGCAGTTAACTCCTCTCAAAACTTTTATTCCAGACTCTCTTCCAGCTAAGCATACCCTGAATTATATCCACAAATTCTGAGATTTCTTCAGCAGGAAGTGAAGAACAAACCCAGATTTCCTCCTGTGATTAGATGACTGACAGAGTGGATGCTTTATCTCAATTTCAGAAAGGATTTTATTTGTGTTTCCCACAATGTCCTCACAGACAAACTGAAGAAAGATGAACTAGATGAGGTGACAGTGAGGTGGGCTGAAAACTTTCTGAAGAGCTGGGCTCAAAGGATTGTGATCAGCAGGACAAAGTCCAGTGGGAAGTCCCTGACTGATGGTGCTCACCAGGGGTCAGTCCTGGGCCCAACACTGTGTCATTAGTGACTCTCAGTCAGCAAGTTGGCAGAGGATAGAACACTGTGAGGAATGGTTGGTAGACTATGTGACTGTGCTACCAGTTAGAAGAACCTCAACAGCATGAGGAAATGGGCCGACAGGAGCCTCATGAACTTAAGAAAGTGGAAAGTCCTGCACCAGGAGAGAATTCACACCATGCAACAGCACATGCTGGTGGCTGATCAGCTAGAGAGCATCACTGCAGAAAAGGACCAGGTGGTCCTCGTGGACCTGAAGTGAGCCTGAGCCAACAGCATGCTTGCAGCAAAGATGGCCAACTGCCACAGGTGAGCATTTCCAATAGGTCGAGTGAGGTGATCCTTCATACCTGGTTAGGGTAGGTGAGGCACACCTGAGGTGCTGGGTCCCCAGTACAGGAGAGGCATGGGCATACTGGAGTTAAACCTGTGAGGAGCTATGAGGGTGATTAAGAACTTGAAGCACGTGACATACAAGGAGAGCCTGCTTAGACTGGAGAAAAGAAGGCACAGAGGGTAACTTGCCAGGGCGTACAAATACCTGCTGGGGATGGGGCTTTGAGCAACCTGCCCATGGTAGGTCATTCCTAATCATTCCAAAACAAGATTCTATGACTAAAGAAGGTGCAGATTTCAAGCGACACATACTAGCAAGGTTACAGGCAATGGATACAGGTTGAAATACAAGATATTTCACCTAAATGCAATTAGAAAAAAACTCAGTAACAGTGAGGGTGATCAAACACTGGAACATTCAAGACATTAGCAGTATCCATGCTTGGAGGCATTCAAAACACAGCGGGACACTATCTTGAGCAACCTGCTCCAGCTAGAAGACCTCCAGAGGTTTCTTTCAACCTCAGTGTTCCTGCGATGATCACAAGTAAAACCAAGACCATAGAACCATAGAATAGTTAGGGTTGGAAAGGACTTTAAGATATCTGTTTCTGAGCTGAATATAGCCCATTGGCACATCAAGTACTTCCAATCTCCTCCAAAGCTTAAGTGCATAACCTCAGACTTGGCTATGCTATGGCCTCAGCCCTAATAAAAAAAAAAGTAAATCAGATCTAAGAACAGACGCTCACACTCACATCCCAAGCTTCCCATTAAATCCAGGACGCATTCTAGCACACAGCAGTTCAGAAGTCACATCTGTTGGAGTCATACAAACATAAGAACACACTTCCAAATGTCTTGTGAAAGCTGGATGCAAGAGTCACAAAATCATTAGGGTTGGAAGGGACCTCTGGAGATCACCTAGTCCAACCCACCTGCCAAGGCAGGCCACCCAGAGCAGGTTAAACAGGAAACCTTCCTGTATTTTGACTGCAAAAACGATGCTTTTGGAAATGCAAGTTTGACACAGACCATGCTGTCTGACTTTACAGGAGGAAAATCCCTGCTATTTCTAAATAAAAATACACCTGCAAAGAACTGTTTCTGTGGTCTGTCTGCACATGCATGTGTGATATATTAACAAGCCACGCCTGCAGCATCACTGCATAGTGCCTCTGATGGCAGAGTTGTCTTTAGAGCATCCACTCTCAATGCATCCCAGGTGCTGTTCTCCCCACACTGTAACTTACTACACCCTGAGTGAGATGATGCAGCTACTTAAGCTTTAACCTCAGAAACACAGGAAGTGAAAAGAAAATACACACAATTAGACACTTGCTTCATAGAATCACAGAACAGTTAGGGTTGGAGAGGACCTTAAGATCAGCGAGTCCTAACCCCCCAGCCATGGGCAGGGACACCTCACACTAAACCATGTCACCGAAGGCTCTGTCCAACCTGGCCTTGAACACTGCCAGGGATGGAACATTCACAACCTCCCTGGGCAACCCATTCCAGTGCCTCACCACCCTAACAGGAAAGAATTTCCTCCTTATATCCAGTCGAAACTTCCCCTGTTCCAGTTTTAACCCATTCTCCCATGTCCTGTCATTACAGTCCCTAATGAAGAGTGCCTCCCCAGCATCCCTATAGGCCCCCTTCAGACACTGGGAGGCTGCTATGAGGTCTCCACGCAGCTTTATCCTAGGCCTAGAGTGTAGACACACTGAACCTGCCCCCAAACCACATACGCCGGCACAACAAACCCGGCCCACAGGCCATCAGCCTGCCCGCGCTGCCACAACACCAGCAGCTGGGCGGGCATAGACAGCGAGAACCCGGAGGACCGCGGCACGGGCGCCTTGGCACAGCACCGTCAGCACACAGCAAGGGCCCGTGCGCTGCCGAAGTGCCCCGTTTCCTGCCTCACAACCCCGGCGGCCCCGCCCCCGGCAGGGAAGCTGCCAGCCGGGGACGAGGCGGGAAACGCTCCTCCCTCACACAGACCCGGTCCCGCAGGGAGGGAGAGCTGAGGCCGAGCGAGCACCGCCGGCGGTACCTGCGCGGTGACGAAGCCCTCATAGACGGTCCGCTCGCGGTTCTGTGGAAGCAGCAGCGGGCACTGCCGGAGCAGAGCGGCCGAACCCGCCATGACCGCTCCGCTCCTGCCCGGCTCCTTCCCGCCCGCCACCGCCGTTCGAATCCGACGCGCCTCTGGCTGAGGCCCCGCCCTCCGTCGGCGCACGCGCCTGAGGGGACGGGCGGGCGCGTGCCGGCCGTTACCTGAGGCGGGGGAAGCGGGCGCCATGGAGGAGTGAGGATAACGTCGGGCGAGGCTCTTAACGCGAAGCCAAGGCAAGGGGGTAACTTCTGGCTTGGTCAGAGCATTGGTTTGGGTTCTAGGAATATCAGAGTTCTTCCCTGTGAGGGTGCTGAGGCGCTGGCACAGGGTGCCCAGAGAAGCTGTGGCTGCCCCATTCCTGGCAGTGTTCAAGGCCAGGCTGGACACAGGGGCTTGGAGCAAGCTGCTCTAGTGGAAGGGGTCCCTGCCCGTGGCAGGAGGTTGCAATGGATGAGCTTTAAGGTCCTTTCCCACCCCAACCAGTCCATGAATTGTACTGTGTTTTCTGCTGCAACACATTTAGAGCAGTAAGAGCTCTTCTGCCTTCTCACTAAAGTGTTGGATGAAAAAACTTCCTCTCTTTCCTGGGTGGGCTGCGTTTGGGAAAGCCTGAGGGGACCTAAAGAAAACATTGGGGCTTATACGTGTTTCACGAGGACTTACGACTCTGCATAACTTTGTGGCTCGGCATCACATAAAGCACAGTAAGATGCAGCTTCTGCCTAAATAAACAAGTTTAAGAAAGAAAAAAGGTCTTACAAAGTGGTAGGTGATTTACCAAAGTCACCTACTTGGGCTGTTGCATTAGCTTTGGAGGAGTAGCCTCAGAGAAACCCGGAGGCTGCTTCCCTTGGGCACAAATGCAGTCTCATTTGCATGCAGTGTATTGCTGAAGGTTCTAGAAGGTCATATATTTGCAGGTCATCTGGTAAGGCCTCCACTGTCGGTTGTGGTGTGAATGGCTGAAGTGGCTAAATGTATACAACTTTTACAGTTATTTATCTCTTGGAATAGAGGAGGTTGTTCCTCCCAGCACCTGTTGAGTTGTTTATATCTTTAAACCAGTGCTTCTTGCTGTGGAACTGAGTGCAAAAGGCTCAGGAAAATATAGACAAAGCAGTATCAGCAGGAGCACGGCTGTTCCAGGCCAGGAAACTGGGAAGCAGCTGCAAGTTGAAGGCAGTTGGAGAACTACTGTTTCTGCTGGCAGCAGCTCAGTACCTGTGGGAGAAGACATGACTTGATAGGGAAGCAAAAAACCCCAATGAAATGTTTTAACCTGCAGTTATGTCTTGTTTCCTTAGCTTGGGGCACCTGTACATGGGGACTGCATGGAAATAGGAGTCAAAAGGGCTCAAACCCTTTGCAATTTTATATTGGCTATTAGAAATACAGCTGCTATATGAGGGAATGAACATGAAGCTTTGCTCATTTGAGCTAGGTGTTAGTCTCTTATGTTCTCTGCTTGTTTTGCGTGCTGCCAAAGTTCCTCTGTCCTACATCTAAATCCTGCTGGTGGTTCGCCCAAGCACCTGGCATACAATGCACTAGCAAGAGTCAATAGGAAGGTGAAGGAGTCCTAAGATTTGCCACTTCATCATAGGAATACATGCTAAAAAACCCCAATATATCCTCAGTGCTGGCTAACAAGGGTTGTTTGGGGTTTGTTGTTTTTTGTTGTTGTTGTTTTTACAGCTCATAGGTATCACTGATGATTTCCAGACTTAAATTTTCAGTGTACCTGAGAAGGACATGTTCTAGCAGTGGAGGTCTTTGCAAGAATGTTGCTCTCATCACATTTTTGTCCTCCAGAGAACTTCGGACAATGCAAGACTCAGTTACCAGTTCAAGAAATATTTTCTAAATAGGTGCACAAAAGGGGCTTAAATACCACTATATTTAACTCATGGACATGGCTTGCTCCCCTCAAGCTGTTGGTGTGCATTTCAATACCCAGCAGGGCTCATCTGGAGCAGTTAATCAATCCTTCATAGTAAACTGTGTCCTTTGTATCTATTAATTTCATTTTGCTCAAAACATTTATTGAGCTGTTTTCTCTCAATATGCATTACACTCAAAATTACTGAATTGTGAAATATCTCTGTACTTTACCAACTACAGAGATTATTTCTTAATTGCATCAAATGCAAAACTCAAGACAGTTTTTCTTCTTCTTTTAGCCATGTTTCTCTTACTCTCTGACTTTAAAATAAATGTGAAATCACTTTAGCCAAGTGCCCTTATGGAGTAATTTATCTAAATAAAAATACTGCAATATCAGAACCATAAAATATTTTAGTACTGAGGCCCAGAGAACATCAGTCACTATGTTACACCGTATGCACTGCACACTTGTAAGCTTTGTATAAAAAATCATTTAACTGAAACCTGTTACTTTGATCTGGCACACAGACTTCAGCATCTTTAAGACATGACAATAACAAAGTAAAAGCAAGGAGGTTTGATAGATACACTTGTTAAGGGAAAGGAGTTTGATCTGATTTGATCTTTCAGCCACAGGCCAACTTAATTGCAATCATGGTTTGCCAGAAAAATCATAATGGAGTTTCTTATTAATTATCTGTCCATTCAGATATCACATTCAACCAGCTAAGTAATAAAAAAATCATAAGTGACAAAACAGTTTGCAGACCTAGCACCGGAAAGCAACAGATGTTAGTAAAATTATCCCATGAGCAGTCAGAGAGCAAGTACAGTCACAGAAAACAATTCACATGAACCCACTCAGTTACCTAACCCCCCCTACATTATTGAAATAATGTAGCTTTCTTAAGAGCTTGATTTTTAAGTATACTTAAGGATATTATGAAAGGCAAGAAAATAAGTGTGTTATTCCCCAACATTAGTATCTCCAACAAAGCAATCAATTTAAAACCATGCAAAATTGCTAATATTGTTATTGCTGTCCTTCTTCATAACTGTGTCATTTTATTCATCTCGCCCCCAAGAAATGACCTTTTCTGTGCATATCCCGCCTTTTTTCCACAAATCCCCCGAGTGACAGAATCTCATCCTAATCCTATTTCCATTTAGATGTTAGAGAAAAGCACTGTAGACCTTCGAGGGAATAAGTAATCAAAATGGGAAGATAATAATATGTTTATGAAATCTGGATTTTATAATAGCAAATTGAAAAATTGCATTAGTATTTCAAGCCACTGAAGGTCAATGTTACTGAGAGTTCAGAGCCATCGATCAAGTGTTTTTAAATGTTCGTAGTTAAGATTATTTTTAATACAGAACATCTCTGTTTCAGAGAGCACCTCTTCAGAGGTGATTTGCCATCTACCTAGCAACCACAAAATCTGGTGCTAAAAGCAGATGTTTCTAATGGAAAGCCACACTAGGAAAAATCTACTACGTATTTTAGCTGTCTTTTAAGCAGACCTAAAAACACAGAACAACTTCACAGGCCTCACAAAATGCACCATACACCACAGTTTAAGAATTCGAGCCCTAATGACGGCTTAAAGGTAAAAGCATATGAAATTCAATATTGCAAAAGAATACTTTGAGTTAATATGCAGTTGTACCTTTTTTTACTAAAGGTAAATTTGCTTGCTTGCGCCTAAAAGCTACATTTAAGGAGTACATTCTGAAAGCCAGTGAAACTTAACTGAGGTCCTAGACAAAAAAGTAACATTTAAACCTCCTCAAGGGTTTCTCTGTCTTGAGCTTCAATTTTCCACTGTTTGAAAGACAGCTTAGACACACTAGCAGCCATTGGGATTAGATGGAGTTTTCTGTGACTAAACCTAGAGGCCATATTTGTCATCTGGAGAAGGTTTTACTGTACTGTTGCTCTGACTGAATGGCTCACTGTTGTTCTGTGACAGTCATTCTCTTCCCTTCACCTTCCTCCTGTTCCTGCAACCCTTCCTTTGTTTTACCAAAGAGCTTTTGCTACAAAATACTTCTAGTGATTTTCATAGAGTTGTTTTACACTGTACTTTTACTTCTGGCTATTTTCAAACCATTTTGTGTCATTAACAATTCACAAAATTAGATGGAGACTCTGGGTGTCTCATAATACCTCACTACAAAGCAGCGCAGCTGTTAACAGAAGTGTCTGAAGCAGCAAATGTGTCTGGTTTGATGATTTGGAATGCAGTTGTTCTTCTGTATTGAAGAACTTTCGTATTAGAAAGCACATGCTGGTACTGAAATCAAGAACACTGATTGATCTATTAACAGCATAAAATGATTAAGTAAGCATTGGATATTTTAAAATGTCTTGGGTGTAGAGGGTCTCAAAGCTCCTGTTCATCTCTGTATGTACAGGCAAAATCTTGGCACTCTTTTTGGCAGGTGACCTGGTGAAATGACTGATGTATTAACATTAATACATTCACATAAATTAACTTTTGCACATAAAACCCACGGAGGCTTTGAGCCCAATTACATCTGTCTGAATTGTACAAATACTCCCTTTGCGGTCAGTGGCAACTCAAGAAGATGAGGCCAATCCATATGTTATATTGATTCTAAATGCACAAGAATATGCAGTTAATCCCTTTCAAACCTTGCAGAGTACAAACTCTTGGAGATCTTCCAAGTAGCCAGACGAAATTTGCCTTTCAGAACCAGGGAATGTATGTTGTTAGAGATTCCAGACAATGCTGGGCCAAAATCTGGCTTTGCTTTTACTAGTGTAAAATGAGACTATTTCAGTGGATGTGTACACCAATATGAAAGTGATTCTTATCTCACAAGGTAGAGTACAATGCTAACATCTTCCTTCCTCTTAATTCCTAAGAAAATGAAAGTGAAGATAACAAGCAAGTGAAAATACTGTTTTGTTCCAGCTAGAATTTTTATAGCATACAAACCATTTGTCAGTTACTTCATGATAGCTTTTCAGGTCTCTTGTGTGCTCCTAGTAGGCTTTATCTGGAGATAATTCAGATACCAGAGTCATGACTGACAGTATAAATCTTCCCAGGTAGGTTGAAAACTATTCAAAATTGCAGACACCTGTGGTCTGTGCTTGCATGTGAATGGAATCTCCTGTACACACAGGACTTGTAGCACCTGTGACAGTCATTACAGATGTGAAAAATGTTTCTATGAAGTTAAAGTTA